GCCGGCCCCTTGGCCATCCATCACGGGGGCTGGTGACTCGGGCGGCTCATTTGTCACCAGCTGCCTGCCGCCCCGCCAAGCAATCATAGCATTAGCCATGGCTGGGCAGAGGCGGCCGGGGACCGGCCTGACCCGGCGGAGGAGGGGCGGGGGGCTCCCACCCCAGCCCTGCCCTCCCGGCCCTGCCCGTCCTGGGCGTCTGCTGGCTTTGGCCCGTTGCTCTTTGTGCCCCTGGGTCCCTTTTCTGGGTCTCTCCACTTCCCTCCCCCCTCCTCTTGGTCTCTCCCCCACTTCCTCTCCCTCTCTCACTGCGGCCCTCCCTGTCTTGTGTGCGGGCCCGCATCTGTCTGTCCTGTCCGTCCATCTGTCTGTCTCATGTGTTTTCTTCCATCTTTTTCTATCTCTCTGTCTCTGTCTCTCATTCTCTCTCTGTCTCTCTCTCTCTGTCTCTGTCTCCGGGGGCCTCTGTCTCTCTCCCTCTCCATCTCTGCCTCTGTGCCCCAGGCCTGGGTCCCGTGTGTGTGTGTGTGTGTGTGTGTGTGTGTGTGTGTGTCTCCCTCCCCCCCTTCACCCCGCTCTGGTCCCGAGTGTAGGCCCAACGCCTTTTCATCTCTGGGTTTCTCTGCGCGTCCCCGGCAGCCGCCCCTCGGGCTTTGTGCGGGTTTGGGGGGGATTACTCTAACCCTCGGGCGCCGGCTCTGCCCCATCCCGCTCCCTCCCTCCCCGCCCCCCGGGCCTGGCGTTTCAAGTCTCTTCTAATTCTGTCTCCATCTCGGTTTGTTTTCCTCTGTGGCCCCTCCCCCCTTTTCTGTTCCTCTCCCCTCCAGCCCTTCGGTCCCTCCTCTGCTGACCCCAGCTGCCCCCTCTCCATCCATCATCTCTGACATTTCCTTCCCTCCACCTCCGGGGAGAAACTTGCGGGGAGAGGGCAGGGACCAGGGAGGCGGGAGCGAAAGAGAGCAAATACCTTGGAGGCACTGAGTCGGAGCCCCCACCCCTTCTCCCCCACAGCCTGAGAACCTGCAGGTCCTCGTTAGAGTCAGACTCCAAGCCTCAGGGGGCCGGCGGGATGCAGAGGAGCTGCCGGAGCCCACCCTCCCTGTTCCCTGGAGGGGCCGGAAGCGGTGCGCTCTGGGGGCGCGTGGCCAGGGGGGGGGAGACCTGGCACAGCCGTGCCTGCCCTCGATGGTGCCCATGCACTTTCCCATTGGAACAGAGAGGCAGTGAGGCTCGTGGACTGTGGGTGCCCCATTCGGACCCCTGTGAGCCAACAGCTGCTCCCCATCCTGGCACGGGCACCCCCCAGTGTGCTCTCCAGCTGTGGCGGGGGCGGGGGAGGAGTTCTGAGAGTCAACCCCTGAAAGCAGCCTCCCCATCAGCATCCAGGGGCTAGTGGATAGATACTCCAATTCCTCACCCTCAGGTTGGGCACCCAAAGAGGGTTCTACAGTCCCCAGCGGTCCCCATTGTGCTGAGCAGGAGGGGACCTGCTCATCAGCACAGCCCTTAATGGCTTCCTTCCCTGTCTCCCCTCCAGTGTCTCCTGGAATCACCTCCCAAATAAACCACTTGTGTCCCATCCTTGCCTCAGGCCAGCTTCTGTGGAGCCCAGCCTAAGACAGGGACATGGTGGATGGACAGAGAGAGGGCACAGGGGAGACAAGATCCCCCTGTGATGGTGAATTGTACATGTCTACTTGGTGCCCAGATGTTTGGTCAAACTTTCATTCAGATGTTGCTGCGAAGGTGTTTTTCAGATGTGATTAACATTTAAACCAGTAAAGCAGATTACCCTCCATAATGTGAGTGGGCCTCATCTAATCAGTTGAAGGTCTTCAGAGAAAAGACTGAGGTCCCCGGAGAGAGGGAATTCTGCTTCCAGGCTGCCTTTGGACTTGAGCTGCAGCGTCAGTCTCAGCCTGCTGGCCCGCCCTGCACAGTTTGGACTTGCCAGTCCCCACAATCACGCGAGCCAATTTTTAAAAGTAAGTCCCTATCTATACCTACCTATCTATCTACACATCCTATTGGTTCTGTTTCTCTGGGAAACTGGTTCAAGATATAGAGATACATAGAAACTAAGACACAAAGGCAGTAGTGAATTCACTCTAAAGACGGTGTATAAGTTTCCTGTGGCTGCTGTAACGAATTAGCACAAACTCAGTGGCTTGCAACAAGACAGATCTATTCTTTCACAGTTCTGGAAGCTACAAGCACAAAATCAGCCCCCATGGGCTGCACTCAAGGTGTCACCAGGGCTGCATTCCCTCTGGACGCTCCAGGGAAGATACATCCCCTGCTTCTTCCCGGTTCTGGGGGCTGGGACATGGCTTGGCTCATGGCCACATCGCTCCAGTCTTCAAGGCCAGCATCTTCAAATCTCTGGCCCATCTCCACATGGCCTCCTCCTCTGTGTGTCCTATAATGTCCCTCTGTTTCCCTCTCATAAGGAGCCACATGATTGCATCTAGGTCCACCTAGGTGATCCAGGACAATCTCCTTATCTCAAGATATCTTGTAACTTGCTTGACCAACAGAATGTGGTGGAAGTGACCGGAGGCCTTGTAGCTTCCACTGTGGTTCTTCAAACTGGCCACAGGGAGGAGTGAAGTGGCCCAGACCACAGGCGCCCCTGCCAGTCACAAGTGACAACATTCTAGCCTCACCCAACCCTACGTGGAACACAAAAGCCACTGTCAACACATAGACTCCCGAAAAATAGTACATTGTTGTTGAAGCCACCAAGTTTCAGGGTGGTTTGTTATGCGGCAACAGATAACTGACACAGAGACATAGACATACAGACACACACAGAGCAGTGGGGAGACTGATATTTGGAAACGGGGGGGGAGTAAAGGTACAGATGAGAAACAGAGAGACAGAGACAGAAAGAGCAACGTGCAGAATTAGGGAGAGGGAGTCAAAAGGAGACAGAGACCTTTGGAAGCAGAGACAGGGGGAGAGTCACTGTCCAGACAAAACGCAAAGAGAGACATGGAAACTGTCAAGAAAGACCTATCTGGTGTCAGCAGCCCCAGCTTTGGGCTGACAGCCAGCACCAACTGTCACCCTGGTGGACATCAGATAACTAGCCTCAGCCAACAGCTGACTGCAGTCCTGAGTCCCCAGTGAGAGAGGAGAACTTGTCATTTTAAGCCAGTCAGTGTTGGGTGGTTCTTGTTATGTAGACACAGATGCTGCAACAAGATGCTTGGAGGGTCTGGGGAAGGTGGGTGAGGCATCGGGAGTTGGGGGGAAGGGATGTCTCAGGCTGCACATTTATTTGGAGGGAACAGGCTAAGGGCTTGGGGAACCATCTGGAAAGAGGGGGCTGAGGAAATATGGATTTCAGAGTTTGGGGAAGGTTAGAGGACCAGACTGGCTCTAGCTGGAGACCTTCCTCTTAGAACGGGTGATGCAAAGATCCTGGGGCTCCTTGGCATGCATGTCAGCGGTGAATTCATCTGATCACCTCTGTGTGTTCCTTCAAACCTTCTGCAGAACAGGCTGCTCAGTGTCCTTCAACATCCATCTTCCACGTTTCCTTAGGAATCCTCTGTGTTTGCCCTGGCTGGTGTGGCTCAGCTGGTTAAGTATCACCCTATGCAGAGAGGCCGTCGGTTCCATTCCCGGTCAGGGCAATGCCCGGCTGGCTGGCTTGATTCCCAGTTGGGGGTGTGCAGGAGGCAGCCGATCGATATTTCTCTCTCCCTCTCCCTTCCTCTCTCTCTGAAGTCAGTAAAAATATATAAAATTTTAAAAATCCTCTATGATTTTTAGCATGATGACTTAGAATAAAAACTACCTTTGCCCCCAGCTCCTCTGGCAGCTACGTGTGGCCGTTCAAGTCTGGCAACTGCGATGCAGAAGGACGTGATGCACGGAGCCCCTGGGGAAGAACTCGGAGGACGGTGGGCCGGGTGAACCCGGGACCTGTCCCCCTGTCCCCATCCTTTGGTCGGAATGATGCCCTGGAGGTGAGCTGTCGGGGACTAAACAGGCCAGGGCCAGATTCTAGCTATGTCAGAGCAACATGATAGAAGAAACCTGGGCCTTTTATTGTCCTCATGAAATAGAGTTGCCATACCAGAAAGAGATTCATCTTATTTAAACCCCAATTATTTCGGATCTATTAATAAAAATGTTAACAGGAAGCCGCCCTTATAAGGACTTACAGACAGACACGCTCTCCAGGTTCTGGAAGTCACCCCCTCCTCTCATCCCTCAGTCTGGGGGTGTTAGTGCTCCCCTTGCAGCCCCGGGTGCTATGCCATCCCTTGTCCATTGCCCCACGGCCTGCAGGCCTCTGTTCACAGTCCCTTCTTACACTCGCCTCCCCCAATTCTGTGCCATCTGCTTCCCCCTGGGGTCTTGCTCCAGAGTCCTTGCCCTCACAAGTCCCACCTGGCCACCACCTCTTGCACCGTTTGGCATGAGCCCCCCACTGCGCTGTGACCCGGTGAGCACAGGGACACTTGGGTCCCTGCAGTGTCCCCAGCAGAGTGTCAGGCACACAATGGATAAAGTGAATTAAAGAAACGCAGAGCACCCTGGCTGGTTTGGCTCAGCGGTTAGTGTGAGCCTGTGGACTGACGGGCCCCAGGTTCGATCCCATTCAGGGCACGTGCCTCGGCTGCAGGCTCAGTCCCTTGCCCCAACTAGGGCACGTGAGAAGGCAACCAATCGATGTCTCTCTCACGTCGATGTTTCTCTCTCTCTCCCTTCTCCTCTCTCTGAAAAGCAAAGGAAAAAATATCCTTGGGTGAGGGTTAAAAAAAGAAAAAGAATCCCAGGGGCCCTGGCCAGTGTGGCCCAGTTAGTTGGGCGTCATCCTGTGTGACGGAAGGTTGCCGGTTTGATCCCTGGTGAGGGGTCAGGGCACATGCCCCAGCTGCTGGCTCGAGCCCCAGCAGGGAGCGTGCAGGAGGCAGCTGATCAATGTTCTGCTCTTACATGGATGCTCCTCTCTATCTCTCCCCCTACCTTCCTCTCTTTCTAAAAATCAATTTAAAAAATCTTTAAGAAAAAAATAAATGAATCCCAGGACCTGGAGGGAAAGTGTAGCCCCCCTCATCCAGTTCTCCCAGGGTTTGCTGGTCTAGCAGCCAGGACTCGGGTGGTAAAGCAGGTTCATGGGTACTCTGCATGTCTGTCCTTCTGAGGCTGTCCTTCCAGGATGGAGAGTGGAGGGCTGTGTGTGTGTGTGTCTGTGTAAGGGAGAGAATATGGAATATGAAAGTGAACAGGCAAGTTGGGAACACCTGGCAAATATAACTGTTTTCCATCCATAGGGCACTTACTATGTGCCAGGTATTATTCTTATATATATATATATATATATAATTTAATGTGATTTATGAGAAAATATAAAATTTAATATATTCTATAAAATTCTAATAAATTATAATTTAATACAACAGCCCTGTGAACTAGGTACCATTAGTGCCATTATTGTTATTGTCCCCATTTTCCAGATGAGGACACTGAGGCACACAGGAAATAAATCCTCATGCTGTGCTGCCTTCCATGACAAATCATCTAAATCACTCCCAAGCTGCTCCCCTGGAACTCCTTCACCCAGGTGGGAATCACCACCTTTGAGGTGGGATGAAGGGACATCTGTAAGGCCTCTCATCTCATCCACATCTGGGTACACCCAGCACTAAGGCTGAGACCTCACTCATCTCCCTGCTGCCAGCCTCTGCACCCCTGAAGTGTGTCACTGTCCCACTGTGCACCCTGGACCCCCCTGTCTCCCATCTCTGCCCTTCCTAGTAGCCTCACCTCTCTGGGCCTCAGTCTCCTGACCTGCGCAACGGGAGTGATTGCTAAGCCTGGTGGCGGATTGAACGAGCCTGTGCCTAGGAGAGCCCGGCATAAGCCTGGCATCGTGGGCTCTCCATAACTGCCAGCTGCTGGTGGCACCGTTCTCACGAACTCCAGTCCCCCAGATGCTGAATGCCCTTGCGTTCAGCGCCCTCCTGCTTCACAACTGTCCCCACCTTGGCGGAACAGCCTGTTCCTGCCCCATCTTCCTCCAGCAACGCCCCCTCTCCTCCAAGATTCTCCAGCGTGGTCTACACGCGCTCACTCAGCTCCCCCAACTGCCACTCCCTCTTCACTCAGCTTGACTCCTGCCCCCACCTTCCACCCAACAGCTCCGGGCAAATCCTAAATTCCAGGGTCACTCCTCAGCCCGCCGCCTCCCACCCTGTGGACCACGCCCTCATCTGGAAACTCTCTTCCCTCGGTTTCAAGTGCCCCAGGTCACCACCTACCCCTCTGTCAACACCTCTCCCACCTTCCACGCACCCCTCAGATGTTGGAGCCCCTCAAGGTACTGTTCGTGCCCCTCTCACACTGCACCCTCCCCCTGGGCAGTCCTACCCCTCCTGAGGCTTGGTGACACCCATGGCCAACAAATCTCAAGTCTCTCCAGCGCAGCCAGGTCTCCTGAGCTCCAGGTGTCCCCTCCGTGACATCCCTGGACGTCCCACAGCACGCACCCCCTGAACCCAGCATATTCTCCAAGCCTATTCCTCCCACTTACCTCACCTTCATTCCCAAGCCCAGAAGATACCTCACTCTGAAAACTCTCCCCATCACCCCTCCCGGATTGACTCCCCACCTTTCCCCCTCCTCTCTGTGCCCCCGAGGAGCTGAGAGCCAACGGGAGGCTCCAGCAGGAGACTGCTGGGTGGGAGGAGAGTAAGGCTGGGGTGTTCCCTCTCTGCCTCCCTTCTCTTTGGGGCATGGGTTGGGGGTGTCTTACTCCTCTCCTCCGCTACAGCTAGAGCCTCAAAGGTGCAGGTGACTCAACTCAGGCTCTCAAGCTCGGGGCGGTCACTTCGCCCTCTGCTGGTGCCCCGGGCACTGCACCTTCCCTCTGGTTTTCCTTAACCCTGTCCGCCCCTTATATCCCTCAGTAAACCCTCCCAGGCCTGTCGAGGTGAGTGCACCATCTCTTCCCTGCCAGGGCCCGATCCATTCTCTCTCTGAACCACCCCCTTCTCACCATCTTCCTTCCTACCACCCAACCCCAGGAACACCCCCCTTCATGATCTCCCCAGTCTCCAGCCCCACAGGTAGCCAGAAGGAACAGTGGAAAACGTAAATCAGATACGATTGCCTGCCCCGCCCCATCCCCCACTTGAAATCCCTTCCGAAGCTCCCCTTTGCTTTTAGGATAAATTCCAAGCCCCTAGCGTGGCTGATAAGGTCTCTTATAACTGGTCCTTCTGAGCTCTCCTCACTCCCCAAAGCCCCGTACTCCATTCATGGTAACCACTTGCACGAAAAAGCCAGCAACTCACGAGTCTCCTCCTCCTATTCCAGCTTTCTGAGAAAGTTACTTGCTTTATTCAGGAAACCCCATCACCCCCAGCTCCTGCTCGGGCAAACTGAGTCCCAGGATGCCCTGTGAAGAGGAATATTCTGTTGCTGATGGATAGGGGCGTGGCTAGGCGCTCCGGGGGCGTGGCTAGGGCGCTCCGGGGCGTGGCCAGGGGCGCTCCGGGCGGGGTGGGCGTGGCTGGGGAAAGCGGTGCGTCCCGCCCAGGGCTGCGGGCCTGGAAAAACGCGGATCACCTGGTCTACTTCACAGCTGCGGAAAATCTCAATCAAAGACCTCATTAGCTCGCTCCTCCTGAATCCCAACTTCTCCCGGGAAGGCTGTTTCCCAGGCGGAATTTCAAAGTTTTATGGCAACTTTTACAGAAATCACAGAGAAAAGAGACGGTGACTGGCGCTGATGAGCTGGGAGTAGAGAAGGGGAGTAGAGAAGGGGAACAGGCCTGGGATGCGGGGCCTATGCACAACAGGACGACGGAACGCTAAAAACCCGTGAGAAGCAGGGTGTTATGGGGTTGCAGAGTCATCCTCAGGGTCCAAGAAGTGGGCAGCACTCCCCACGCCCCAAGTGTGTCCTTTGGGCGGGGAAACATCAACAGTAAGAAAATGCAGACGGCCTACCAACAGATGGGTGGCCTCCAAAGTTAAAAATGCCCACCCCTGGTCCCTGTCCCACCCT